TGTTGGCCTCCTAAAAATAAAAGCTCAAACAAAGTTAAACGTGTACTAGTAATAACTTTATAAACATATGGTAGTATTTGTGTTAACTTACATATTTATTGTAGTATACGGTAGTAAATCTTCCCATGGCAAGGACCGTTTCCTCTTCCAGGAAATAGCCCTAGGAATATCATTAGAAGTTTTTAATGCATATGTCTGCATGGCGGAAAGGCCTCAAATATCCAAATCTACAAACAATATAATAACAAACATTAGTAATTGTTAAAGAATTAATTATAATTTTGGAAACATTATATAAAAATTGTTGCCTTAAAGGCCCAAATAAAGCCTGACAAAGTGTATTTGGAACCATCACCACGCAAACTTTTTCGATCATCAAAGGAAGACGACAACTTATTCCATGAAGCTCTCCATAGATACGAACCCCACAGAAACAGGTTCCATGCATTTAGGTCCTCTGCCAATTTAATTAGATCATTAGGAATAGGTTGTCGGGCCTCTCTGCCTAAAAAGCCGGCTTGCAAAAGTATTAGAAGGCATACTCGGACAACATCGACGTCATCCATCCGAGTAAAACCATCTTTCTTATTCAATAATCTCGTCAAGTCTTCCACGTGTAAATTCGGCTTCTCCGTTGATAGCTCAGGAAAAATCTGGGAAAACCATGATAGACGGGTAATATGTCTAGTGTACCGATCTACATCATCGTGTCCGAAGCGTAGACCGGTGATTAAGCAAAACTCCTCCTGTCCAAAACACGTATACGTCGGTGGAAAATCAAACCATATCTCTTCATCACGACGTTGTATAGTCTATGGTAGATCGCTAGTCATGGTTTGAAGAAACAGATGGGTCAACATAGTATCTCCACCCGGATGTTGTACTTTCAGCCATGACCCGAAGCAAGTATCCTCAAATATTTTTCTTTGTGCAGGTGAAAGCTTCGACGCAATTGTTTTGGCCAGGCTTACTTTATTCTTAAGGTCAATTGAGAATAAAAGTTCTGCAAAAACAATAAACATACCAATTTAGATATACCAAAAACTATACTGTGAAGATATGAACAATAAACATAAAGAGTAGTAGTTTATTCTTCAAACTTAAATTTGCAACACTGTGAATTTAGTATTTGTTTTTTGGTTGAAGTAATGCAATTCATTCAAGTTTCAATTTGCAGAAGAAGAATAGTTTCTGAAACTTTAAATCGCAACACGAAAATGAAAATCGCAACACGAAAATGACTATCGCAACGCGAAATGAAAATCGCAACGACAGAATCGCATTGCGATAGTCATTCTCGGTTTCAAATACTAAAATTGAAAGAAACTTGAATGGATTGCATTACTTCAACCAAAAGACAAAACAAAGATAAATACTAACTTCACAGGGTTAAAGACTAAACAATTTAGCAGTATTGGCAGCAATCGAATGAATATAATAAGCAATCTAAGTGAAATAGTTAATCTATTATTGAAAACACCAGTAAACTTATCATCAATTTCAATATGAAAAACCTAATAATAATGCAAAATTTTCAAAATAAAAATAATTAAAAAAACTAACCCTCGGTGGTTGATTTTCCATTTCTGACGTGAATGATTTCGCCGGAGATGGAGACTGATATCGTCGTGGGGACTGATTTCGTCAGAGATGGGGACGGATGTCGCCTTAGAGAGTGAGAGATGGAGATGAGACTGAGTTGTGATTTAGGGTTTTAGGTTATAAGTTACGATTACGGGATATACTGTGAACGGTTCAGTGTTCCGATATATTAATATATTCCTGTTTGGAATTTGAAAAAAAATACGCGTTAATACGAATGGCGCTATGTAAATCGCATTGCGATAGTCAGATTCGCATTGCGATTTACGTAATCGCATTGCGATTTACGTAATCGCATTGCGATTTACGTAATCGCATTGCGATTTTCCAAATTCGCGTTGCGATTTACGTATTCGCATTGCGAATTAGGAAAATCGCAACGCGAATTTGGGAAATCGCAATGCGATAGTCAGAATCGCGTTGCGAATCTGGAAACTGATTTGCGATACCGGAGATCGCGTTGCGAATTATCGATCGCATTGCGATTTAGTTGGTCATTTTGGCAAATCCAAAAAAAGTTGGTTAAAATCGTATATTATAAGGCATTTTTGGTCACTAAGGTTATTTTCTCTTAATATAATTTTAATTGATAATTTAATCGATTCAATTTTTCAATACAAATACTTTATTAATTTTTTTGAAAAAAATAAAAGCTTAACAGTTTTTTCCCTTAGAAATATAGAGTTTTTTTTCACACATTTACCTTTAAATAATATAATGTATTTTACTAATTTAGATTATTACAAGTTAATATATGTTCGAAAGACTTTCAATCATTTTTAAGGAATACTTAAACACTTGTCATGCTCAAATTCAAGACCTTTGAAAATAACAATCATCCCTTTAATTACTGAGATCATTTGATTTGTGTCATCTTTTATTCTCATTTGCAAAATTGAAATTGGGTATTTATTATTATTATTTTTAATTTAGAGTGATTATAAGATAGTTTATATTAAAAAAATTATCAATTATTTGATAATAAACATTCAAACATTCCTACAAACATCATATTCGAACTTAAAACTTCTAAAAATGAAGTCATCTCTTTAACTACTAAATTCACTTTATTTATGTAACAGTGTATTTATCCCTTGAAGGTTGGGATTTTAGAGTATACTCTTGCAAGTGACGCGTGAAAGAAATGAATTCTTCTTCTTCATATTTAACTAGGGAAATGTTAATAAATGTGATTAAGGTTTAAATGTTACATTTTTGTTTAAATTAGGTAATGTATTAAAATACTTTTAAAAAACTTTAATCTAATATTTGATATATGAACTTTGAATTTGTTTTAATTTGATATTCCAACTTTACACTTGTTCCAATTTAGTACCTTAGATTTGCTTTTAGTCTAACTTCATATCTGAATTAAAAAATGTATCTCAATTTGATACTCAAACTTAACGGTGTCTAATTAGATGAAACATTTAATAATATTATATGATAAAAGGAGTCTTTAATTTTATTTCTATAATACTTAACTTCGTATATCCACTTTTTAAAAAATTAGCATCAATCCACTTAGAAACCTACAAAGTTTAAAGATAAATGATAAATTAGATGTCAAATTGAAACAAAGCCTTAAGTTTGGTTATTAAATTAAATAAAAAACCCTCAATGACTAAATTGAAAAAAATAGGTACTAAATTAAGATAAAAGTTAAATTAGATATCAAATTAAAAGAAAAAAAACTCTGAGCCCAAATTATGAGAATGCCAAACCTGAATATAAAATGCTATTTTACACCTTTTGAACAAATAAAAATAAATAAAAGATTCCATCTCATTAATCATAATATTGCTCACTAAATTAGAATTATTATATAATTTATTAACTATGAAAATTAAAATATTGTTTATTATAACGTCCAAATTAATCCCCCTTTTTTCTAAAAAGAACCCATGCCACGTGTCTCTTAATTTGGTAATCTTTTTGAGGTATTTGTTGATTTCGTGATGCTTATTCCCTAAGTTTGCCAAAATTTAATGGGTAAGCAACCCGCCGAATGAGAAATGTTTTGATTCATTAATTGTGATTAATGTATAATTAACCAAAGACTCCCTTTTAAACAATAGTAATCTTATTCCTTCGATTACGTTCAAATAAGAATAATTTAATGGATAAGTAACCCACCAAATGAGAAATGTGTTGGTTTGTATATGAATTAAATATTTTTCCACTTTGATATTTTAAAAAATATTTTAAAATTTAGTACCCAAATTTTAATTTCATTCATTATTTTAGTACTTCACAATTTTTTTTAAAAATACACATAATAATACTATTATAAATATGGGTTATAATCTTATACTATCATGTCATAAAAAATTATCACCTTTATTAAAAGTACGAAAATAGTAAATTCGGGTACCAATTTAAAGAGAAATCGTGTTTTAATTATTTTGAATATAATGTTCTTACAATGTATTTTTGTAATTTATTGGCTATTTAATAGATTGGTTGTTTATTTAAGTTCGAGTCGTCTGTGGTGCAGTGTTAGTATGGTACAGAGGTAATATAGAGTTGAATGATGCAAATAATTTCATATACAACTTAAATAGCATATTGATTTTCCTTACCAAACAACCTATATTATTTAGTGTCTAAAGATTAATGCATTAAATCAATAATATGGGATTAGCCAGTCCAAAAAAAGAAAAACAATGGTACAAGCTTTACTTTAGAATTCAATTTGGGCGATGGATTTTAGTTCAAATCAAATCTTCTTAATTTAATCACCGATATATAATTTATTGATCAATTATTTTGAGAACGATCCTCCCAATCCAGTTAAGATCGAAGCTTATAATTCTTAAAACCTTTAAATAATGTGTTAATTAACTTTATTGAATCATTTGCAACTCATTTCAAGTTTAAACTAGTTTTGATTTTGAATTAGTTAAGATCTGAAATATTTTTCGAGTTTAGAAAATCATACAAGATTAAGATGAATTAATCAAGTAATATTTATATATAGTTCTTTTAAAATGTAAAATGTCTTCTATATCTTTATAATTGTATTTTATTTTTTAAAAGATTTATTTAAATTTAATTGTTAAATGTGTTGAAGTTAAATAGAGCTAAATGAAAAAATAATTTCTTCACTTGTAAATCAATTTTTCCACTTTCAGAAAATGACGGTAAAGTTATTTTCTAAATTTAAACACTTAAAAAAGTAAAATATCAACAGACATAAATCAAAATTTAAGTTTTTAAAACTTTTAGATTAAATTAATACCAATTATTTTAACATCACTGAATCGTCAATTGTTTTTGTCCTTTTTCTGTTAAATAAAAAATTCAAAAATATTAAAAATTAAATACGTGAAAGTCTATGAAGAAGTTCAGAGCACGTAGAAATACACGAAAGCACCTATTCGGCTCTTATATAATTGAGCGGACAGTGATCCCGAAGGAAACAATGCAAAAGTCCACTTCGAACAGACCGGCAGGAAAGCTAGCCAATGGCTAGGTCCCATAATCAACGTGACTCCACGAATTGCGGCGACAGCCTGCAACAGATTATTTCATCGGTAGCCTATGGCTAAAGCACGATCCATACCTATCTTACAACGATTAGCAGAACCGCCCCTTCACGGCTACAGTCACGGACAATTTTGCTACAACTCAAAATATTAGCAATAGGGTGCAGTTAAACATGAACATCGGAATATGCCAATGAAACAATCATAGAGGAAAACGAGAAGGTTATTCGGCACAGTTAACGTAGTTGCAAGGTTCAGATCAATACATTACACTCTTTTAGAATCAGGCATTAAGTCTCATGGACCAAATGTCCATTATATGCAGAGCATTCCATGGGTCCAGAACTTATTTTCGATCTCGGTGCCATTTTTTGAAAACAGAAAATCAAGGGGATAATCAGAAGGAAAAATAAGAAACCTGAATGATGCAAGGCTTTCCAGAAATCAAGAGTATAGGTCCTACCAATTTCCATATCAGTTAAAACTAGTTAACAGTCAATCTCTGCAATCAACATACTGCTATAACCGGCATCACAATCCCGATCATTCATCTACAGACATAAACAACATCAACAGCCACACATCAACATCATGTCCATTTGTTCAGGTCACTCTTTCCCCGAACATTGCTATAAAACCCAACAGATGGTTTGACATGGATCAGCATTCTTAGAATATAGAAAACATAATAACTTAAAACAAAAAAAAGAAAAGAAACAATTTGATAAAGTGGCTCCATGAGATTAATCAAGGAGACAAGTAACAAGCAAAGTGTCATATGAGATCTAAGCAGGGAAGGGGAAGCAAGCTAAAATAACAGGCATACATCACAAAATCTTCGGTGGGCACTGAAACATCAAGCTAGACGTTACATAAGTTTAGACACCAAAACACTGCTCAAGTAATAGAGAGAGAAGGTTCAGGACAGTTGATTAAAACACATAAAAAAAAAGTCCTACCAATACTAGGAAACACATGATATATGAATGTCCTCAAGACCAGCAACAAGAAACTACTTGAAGCCTCTCCAGTGATCCATCCGCAATATCATTCCTACAAAATTCAAATTGAAGAAGTAAATGGTAAACAATTAGAACAACTTCTTGTAAGGGTAATTTTACCAAAAAAGATTGAACAAAAAGGGGAAGGGAAAAATAATACATTAGAAAGCGAAACTCATCACATCAGAATTCTGAGATGGGCTACGAGAATCAGCAGGACGGCCTCGTGGTGAAACACTTCGAGGACTTGGAGAACGCCCATCAAAGCTACGTTCAGGACTTTCACCCCTGGGAGATGCCTTGTGTGGGGAAAGACTCTTCCGAGAACTAGGGCTGTGGCGAGCAGGAGAAGCACTGAAACAAAGAGGGTATTTTTACAAAGCTGAAGCATAAAAGATTTTGAAAATAGAAAATTAGACATTCTAATATGTGAGCGAAGTACAAATATAAACCTCATTGATCTACTGCCACTCTGCCGATCATCATCATATCGCCTTCTTGCTCGACCTTTAGAATAGCCAGGACTTGCACTGCGGCTCCTGCTTCTACGCCGATAGTATCTGCTTCTCTCACGATATCGATCACGTTCATACCGGTCATAACTCCTACTACGATGACTTCTCCTATAATCCCTGTCTCTGTAATAATCATCCTGGTGCCTGAAGATAATGAATATCAGATGATTAGAGTTAGACCATAAAGAAATATAATTAATCCCCGTGTAATTTGGCTATTAAAACAAGCTTAAAAGCATCATATACAAACCATAACTCGAATAGGATAAAAGTTAATTTAGAAATGTCATGATGTAAACCGGGAAAAAACAGTTTGTATTTGTCCAGACATCCAATTCAGGAACAAGCAGATAAACATTGATTTTAATTTAGTAGTTTAGAGCAATCAACACCCAGCACCATCATGCTCATGCTACCATAATTAAGACTCCACCAGTTGAAAAGGAAAATGAATAACATTATAAACCCTCATGATTATCCTTTCATCAATGTCTCCCATGATTTACAAAATTGTGGGGACAACATGGAAGAAAAAATGCAATTACAGTACAAAAAATTCAAAACTTCTCTAAACAGTGAGAGGGGGAGGGGGTTAAAATAACTTACCTTCTGCGAGGGCTGCGACTTCTTGACCTGAACTTCGACCTTGGAACTGATTCAATAATCCTTCCTTTGCTACTGAAAAAGAAATATTACATCAAAGACCTCAAGAATGAAATTACTAGAAATATTGGAACCATATGACATAAAGGAGGCACATCAGCAAGTTTTTTTTAATAAAAAAGGCTATATAGGTTGTACCAAAACATAAGCAGCAAGCCAAACAAGACTTTCAAACTATCACTGTAAACAGTAAATAATTTACCACTACTGCATATTACTTAAGCAGGTGAACCTTATCCATGATGAAGCCAAGCAAGGAAGTGTACATCATAATACCAAGTTATATTATACCAGAACCAAATTCACATTTTCACCACAATAATAATGAGGCATACATGCAGGAAACATTTAAGAAAAAGAAAACCATAGATTGCACCACAAAATTTAAGCAAGAAACTCCGACAAGTCTATCAAACAACCACTGGAAACAGTAAGCAGCTAATCAACAATACAAATTACTTAAGCAAGCCGACATGTTACATGTTGAAGAGAAACAAGGAGGTTTTTCCCCCCATCAAAATACTTGGTTAAACAAGAACCAAAATCACATTTCCACCAAATATTTATCACACGCCATATATCCTTTCTACATTAGGCACCCGTTCAGGTGTAAAAGCAATTGAATAATTAACGGCAGCTAACACACAACTTACATCATCTCTGCATTAGGCCCATATTTTGCAAACTGAACTGTTATCTCCCGACCATCAACGACTCTCCCTGCAATAAGAAGAAAATTTTCACATATTGTAACGAGTTATCTACAAAATCAATACAATATCGCAACTAAACACAAATTTGACGGGAAAAAAAGTTGCTCGCATGATGGGGGAATAAAAAGTGATATAAAAAGAGGGGACGATGGGTTACCATCGAGCCTATCCACAGCTTTTTGTGCCTCGTCTGCATACTTATAGCGCACAAACGCAAAACCTCGAGAATCACCAGTCCTGCCATAATTAATAAAAATCACTCTCTTATAAATTACCCGCAAAGCAACAACCACAAATGAACAACAAAATTATATCAATCAATCAGAAGAAGAACCTTCGATCTTTGGGGATGAAGATGTCAACGACTTTCCCATACTTGTCGAACAACGGAAACAAATCATCAGCGGTCGTTCCTACACAAATTCAAAACCAAAAACCAAACAGCATAAACAAACTTTTATCAAATAAGAAATTAACGAGCGAAGCCATAGAAAGAGAGGCTTACGGAAGGTGATATTGAGGACTAGAAGAGAGTATGTGTCGGTGATATCGGGAGGGCCTGATCTTCCAAAGTGAGACATATTTTTTCCGCAGATGATGAGAAGAAACTGGGGAGAAAAGATCGATGAATAAACGGTTTTCAGGGTTAGGGTTTATCTGTTGATATTAAAATGCACGAAACAAATTTGGTTAATTACAAATTGTTTGAGAAATAAACCAAAGTTTTCGATAATGCTCTGATTCTGGATAGTTCATATTATTTGGACAGGCGTTTAATTACAACTCTGCCGCCGTTCAAGAGTGTTCTAGAGCTTATTTAAAGGATTAAATACCAATTTGCATTTAAAATATAAAGTACATTAAATTTCATTCTATTTTTTATTTTATAAATATTTTTTATCGTTACAAATTTATGATTTAATATAAAAATAAGTATTTAAATTATTTCTAAAAAAAATTTAGTGTTTAAAGAATATTTTTTTAAAAATATGTGTCAACTTTTTTCTGTTTACATTTTTAGATTATATCATTATATATTTTTTATTTTTAAATAATAAAAATATTATTGTTAAAAAAGAAAATAACATCAGTGACCAAAAATGCTTTATAATATACGAATTTAACCAACTTTTTTTTGGATTTGCCAAAATGACCAATAAATTCGCAACGCGATCTCAAATTCGCAACCCAGTTTCCAATTTCGCAACGCAAATATGTAAATCGCATTGCGATTTTCCAAATTCGCGTTGCGATATTCCAAATTCGCAACGCGAAAATCAAATTCGCAACGCGAAAGTCAAATGTTTTTACGCGAAACACAATATTAATTTCGCAACACAAATGTAAACAGTATTATCGCAAATCATCTCTAACCTAAAACCCTAAAGCACAACTCAAACCCATCTCCCTCTCTCACTCTCTACGGCGACATCCGTCCCTATCTCCGATGAAATTCGTCTATCTCCATCTTTCAGATCAACCCTCACAACCATTCACTGTCAGAAATGGAAAATCAACCATCGAGGGTTAGTTTTTTTAATCTCTTATTTTTATTTTGAAATTTTTGTATTATTATTAGATTAACCATTTCACTGAGATTGCTAAATTCATTCGGTTGCTGCCAATACTGCTAAACTGTTTAGTCTTTAACCCTGTGAAGTTAGTATTTGTCTTTGTTTTGTCTTTTTGTTGAAGAAACCCTAAATCGTAACACCAAATTCACAACGCGAAACTAAAATCGCATTGCGATTTTCATTTTCGCGTTGCGAATTTAAGTTTCAGAAACTTCTTTTATTCGCCAAATTGAAACTTGAATGAATTGTATTACTTCAACCAAAAAACAAAGACAAATACTAACTTCACAATGTTGCTAATTTAAGTTTCAAGAATAAACTACTACTCTTTATGTTGTCCTTGAACCTGCACTAAACCTATATGTTGTCCTTTTAAATGTTTATATAAGTGCTTACTTCTGGAATGTTATCTGATGCATTTTGTGAACTATGATGGAATAATGACTTGGGTGAATACCATGCTAGTTTGAAACATATTTGGCTTTGTTTTCACTGTTTAATATCATGTCTGTTTGTAGTGTATAATTTGTAGTTTTTGGTATATCTAACTTGGTATGTTTATTGTTTTTGTAGAAATTTTTTTCGGCTCAATTGACCTCAAGGAATAAATTAAGCATAGCCACTAAAATTGTGTCGACGCTTACACCTCTACAAAGAAAATTGTTTGAGGATACTTGCTTCGAGCCATGGCTGAAAGTACAACATCCGGGTGAAGATGCTATGTTGACACATTTGTTTCTTCAGATCATGACTAACGATCTACCCGAGGGGGAACAACGTGGTGATGAAGAGATATGGTTTCATTTCCTCCGGCACCGGCGCATACTTGTTTTGGGCGGGAGGAGTTTTGCTTAATCACCGGTCTACGCTTTGGACACGATGATGTAGGTCGGTACACTAGTCATATGGCCCGTCCATCATGGTTATATCGGGTTTTTCCTGAGCTGGCAAAGTCGAAGCCGAGTATACATGTCAACAACTTAAAGAGATTATTTGATAAAGATGGTTTTACTCTGATGGATGACCTTGATGTTGTCCGAGTATGCCATTTACTACTTTTGCATGCCGGCTTTTTAGGCAAAGAGGGCAAACAACCAATCTCCGATGACCTAATATTATTGGTAGAGGACCTAAATACATGAAACCTATTTCCGTGGGGTTCATATATATGGAAAGTTACCTGGAAGAAGTTGCCGTCTGCCTTCGAGGACCAAAAAAGTTTGCAGGGCGATAGTTCTAAATACACTTTGACAGGCTTTACTTGGGCCTTTAAAGTAAGAATTTCTATATAATGTTTCCAAAATTATAATTAATTATTTAACAATTACTAATGTTTGTGTATTATATTGTTTGTAGATTTGGATATTTGAGGCTTTCCCCAGTATGCGGACATATGCGATAAAAAGATCAAATGATATTCCTAAAGGTATTACCTGGAAGAGGAAACACATGTTGGATTAGGAAGACTTACTCTCATATACGACGATTAATGATGTAAGTTAACACAAAAATACTACCATATATAAACAAGTTATTACTAGTACATGTTTAACTTTGTTTGAGCTTTTATATTGTTAGGAGACCAACTACCCATTACAGAGGCTGACACCCTCAGATGCTGAGCTTGCCACTGATTGGTGGCAAGCTAGTAAGCGGTTTTTTGATGGGACGGATGATGAGCACCCCCCACTTTGAAAGCCATCACCCCATCGGGCCGATTCTATAGCTCGACACCCGGAGCCATCACTTGGTCTAGCCTCTTCTTCACCTCCACCATCACCTATTCCATCACATCATCGAGCCTCTTCTCCACCATCACCTCATGATAGGCGACTGGCAAAGAGGCTCCATCTATCTCCATCTCTCTGTTCTCCACCTCCACGAGATGAGTTAGGGGAATTACGTGATGAGGTCGGTGTTTTGCGTCATGAGGTCTGTACTTTACGTGAAGATAATGGTGCATGGCATGATGAGGTTCGATCTTTACGTGGTGAGGTGGATTTTTTACGCGATGATAATGGTGCGCTACGCGGTGAGGTATCTACCTTACGTGATGAGGTTACCGCTCTACGCGAGATTGTTTCATTGTTGCAGAATGAGGTTAATACTCTACGCAATGAGGTAAATTTGTTTAATACTAACTAAAAATGTAAATAATTTTTTCAGCATTATTTATTTATTTATTTACTGATTTATATATTAATTTATTTTCAGCGGCCCGTTAAGGTAGATGCTTTACGTCGGGTTTTTCTTGTACGACGGGGTTCACGCATCAGACGTCGTGCACGTGCCATTACGTCACCGTTCACCCCACTAGTGCCAAGACTCCGTAAGAATAATCCTGATGCACCTATCATCATTCAAGAGGCACCTCATATCGTTCAAGAGGCCCCTATCATCATCAAAGAAGCCCCTCCCACTGTTCAAGAGGCCACTGTCATCGTTCAAGTTGTCCCGCCCGCCATTCAAGAGCCCGATTCATTTGGCGTCATATTTCGACATATTGATAAACCACCTCCTGTACCCGATATGATGGATGCGTGTTGGCTTTCGTATGAGTTACCGGCCAGTACCATTCCTCAGCAGGAGATGGAAACACTACCGGACACAATTACGAATAATACCCTTTAGGCTAAGACCGCAGTTGATTTTTATCTACATGAGCGGAGTAAGGGGTGTTATTCTGATCTATGCCAAATCGACGATGCTAGTCATTTGTTTCTTGATCGGTCTTGGTGGGGTATTTTATTAGGGGTTGAGATAATGGCTACCTCGAAGGGGGTAAGTATTATATTCTTCTTATATTGCATTTTGATTAATTTTTTTTAAATTATTAATAAATTCACTAATATATTTATATTTTTATAAAACAACATATTGATGCATGGGTGTCACGTCTTCTAATAATAAGGAAATGAAGAAAAGAGGTATTTGATGGACTATTATGCTGACGTCTTTCACGCAGCTCACTTGAAGGATCAGAGAGATGCTTCATATAAGTTGGCTAATGGAAAAGCTAAACTTTATCTCACGTGGTGGGAGGTCGATAAGGTTAGTATTTATTTTTTGAATATTTTAAAGGTTTTCATAAATTTTATTTGATGCACGCATTATTTATGATTGCAGGTGTTTATCCCTGTTTTTGGAAAAGCGCAATTGGCTTCTCGTCGAGCTTTAGCTCCCATCCCTGAAGACAGTGGTATATGACATCATGTTGAATTACATACCATTGTCTGATTTGAGAGATATTATTACAAAGAGATGGAGCGATCATTTGGCTAAATTCTTGAATGCGATTGATTATTTGACAAAATCTGGAAACAAGAAGCCAAAGAAGTTCAAAATTATAATGATTAGAGACGAGACTGCGTCACAACAAACGCAGGGAGCCAGAGGGAATTGTGGTCCTCTCGTATGCTTGTTCTTGGAACGTTTGATGACAGGAAGTATACAATATCAACCTCCCACAGATAGAGATAGAGTTGTAGTAGGCTTGTGGTTTCGGCATTATATGGCCATATATTCGAGACGCTGCCTACCTGCATCCGCGTGCTGAAAGTTGTACATAAACAATTGGTAAGTTTGAGCAAGTGTTGTTAACATATATACTCTTTAATTGGTTTTAAAATATTTGGCTAAGTACATAGAATTCAGTAATTTGTTGTTTGTTGGTTTTAGATGTGTAGAAAGTGTTGTTTGAGCAAATGTTTGGTTTCTGCAGGTTAATCCTGAAGTGAGCTGCGTGAAATGTATTTGTGCATAAACAACAGTCTGGGTACAATTTTTTTCTTTGTTTAATTGAATTTTACATTGAAAGTTGATTTGTTACAATTGATGAGGAAATAAGATTTATTTTTTGATTAATTGATTTGTAAAAGTTGATTTGTTTAATTTGATTTGTAAATAAGAATTATTTTTTTGCTTGTTTAATTGATTTGTAAAAGTTGATTTGTTGTTTCTAAAAAATTCAATCTGCATTATGTTTGAAGGCAAAAAATAAATGTTGAAGGTACAAATTCGCAACGCGAAAGTCAAATTCGCAACGCAATTTTTGGTTTGCGAATTTGATTATCGCAACGCTTATTTCGCGTTGCGAATTTGACTTTCGCGTTGATCGAAAATCAAGGTATATACAACATCAAACACATTCCAAGCTATAAATTACAAGCTAAGGACACTTGAAGAAGCAAGATAACAACTATCCAAGC